GCATAATTTTCATTTTAAAATTCATAATAAAATTTAGATAACAATTATCTAAAGATAATTTTGATAAATCTAGAGACTACCGAATTTGATAACACTCCTTTATCACGTTTTAAAATAATCATTTGTTTTATCAATGTTACAGTGACTTTAATTTTGAAGTATATTAGCGAGGGTATACGTAGGGATTCGATGTAATAGTAGCAACAGTTTTGCAAATATTTTAAACATTAATTGTGTAGAGCAAAAATTTGTTCAGAATGATGACCTTGACAACATATTTCAAGATGACTGAAATCGAAAACGGCTGTCTTAAACCGCACATTTACTAAACTTCGTTTTAATCTATTCGTTGTCATTAAATAAAATATGAATTTTATATGTACAACAGTAATATAAAATACGATCTGTTAGTTTATAATTTGTTTTCGCACTGTTTCATGATCACATTTTCCACTTATCTTTATTATTCGTTCATCCTTCCGAAAATGATTGTCTTTGGGACCACGGTTGCAGTTGTATTACATACAATTTATGACATATTACATTCACCATATACATGATAAGTTATTTCCTAACAAGTTAGTTACGATGCGGGGAGATAGTATTGTTTGGAAATGAGCTTTTCGGTTGGTAGATTAAACAAAAAACAGATGATGATACGAAGTCAAACAACAACTAAAACTAAACTGTACCTTCACTTTGACGCGAACGGCCTCCCTAGGACAGCCGAACATGTTTGATGTTGATATGTAGACTTTCTCATGTATCGAGAGAGGCTGTTCCTACGATTCAGGATCTTTAAACCACTTACAACTCTGGATCTTTAAACACTATCCGCGCCTCTTCGAGACCGTGTCGGACAGAGCCCGACATTCTTGTGTCGGACACCGAACAGTTTTTCTAGGTTAATTCGTTTCACGCGGCGTAGGAGAATCCGGTTATCAAGCTTTCGTCTCAAAGCATCCTTTTCCCCGTCCGTCAGGATACTATGTATTGCACCGCGGTTCTCGAAGGATCAGCGTTCTTAATCTAACACCAGTTGACACACGCAGGCGATCCACGCACGGCTACAAAAATTAACTTTTTTCGAACGTCAATTTGGTGACTATGCGTGCAGTTTCAAGATGTTACAAGAGGTTTATTTCGCGCCTTCCTCGAACCTTCGTGCACCAGATCGACGGTGTCACCATGACACCGTTGGCAACCCGAAAACCACGTTCGATCCTCGGATCTGTACGTCCTTTTCTTCCGCAAATACCGCTGGTCCGAGAGAGACAGACGGGAGAGTTTCGAAACGTGACAAGGGAACAAGGACAGACAAACTCGCTGGGGAAAATTGCCGTCACGTTTTCGCACAGGTGAATCCGCGGTGTGAATAGAGATAGAAAAAGATCGAAAATGAGGAAACCAAGTGACTTGAAGCGGTCGCAGACGGTTACGTTTACGCTTTACACACTGAGATGTCGCCCGAATCTAGATCGTCGCCATCTTACTAATCCCATCGTCATGAGAGCGCGCGTTATTTGAATGTCTGAGTAACATAGTAAAAATGTACAAAGATTTATTTATAAAGAAAAAGAAGCATGGGACAAGTTATGTATATGTTCTTAACAACTGCATAGAATTGATATGGATAATTGTGTTATCCTCTTTTTAATGATATAATAAAAATCAAGATAATTACAAGAACTTTATTTCTGTAGTAGTATATTCAAAATAATATAATAGTATATAATAATAGTATATTATATTATATATATTATAATATAAATTATATAATTATATAATATAAAATAATAAATAAATTATAAAAATTATATAATATATATTATATACATTATATACATATATGCAGTAAAACAAATAATATAATATATAAGTAACTTCTCGGCCTGTATTGCCGACTGTAGCTAATTGCAGTTATAGACGAGCTCGTCTATGGTGCATCGTTTTGGTCGGAAAAGAACAGTGGCGTTAGTAGCTTAGTCTTTTGGGAATCTAAATTTTTCACTCCTGAATTGTGCAGTTCAATATTGAAGCATCTATTCTAGTCGGTGTAACCTCTGCATACTAATATACGTATGTGGGTTTCTTCTATGAATGGGTGGTAACAGTGATTGAGAGCCCCATCTGTGATTTCGTATCCATTTATCTATCGACCTTGTCGATATACATATCCTCTCTAGTTCACGTTTTTTAGCTCCCTCGTCAGATCGCAGCACTTAATTGCTTTTAAGCGATCGATTCGGTGTTTTGTTAGATTTTTACTGATTGCACGATTCTGGACAGATCTCTTTTTTCAATATGAATGCAGAGAAGACGGGTGAATAGCTTTTCACATTAAAAACATTTTATAGTAACATTGAACATACATTTAGAGAAGTGAGTATACATACTGTATACATATATATGTATGTAAATAATATATCACACTCGTACTACTTACGATTACGTAAATCTCTGGTGGTCAATTTTGTGTAGATATTTTACTAGCATTTGTGAATTGTAGGTTTAGATATGGTGAATCTATTTTTTGTTACTTATGTAGTGTTTAGTCTTGTTGTAGTTATTTAGATATAAGTATTCTATCTACGTAGAGTTCATAACTAGCTTATTGCAGCTAGGTTATTCTTTCGAAGAAAGATTTTATTTATTTTTGTGTATGATTAATTTAAGTACTTTTTGCTTTCTTAGATGTAATCATAGATAACTTATTGCAAACATTAAACTTAGATTTACCATGTACCTTTTATATTTTAGGTTAATGGGTGGATCCATTGTATCACGTTTGGTTAACCGATATTGGCAAATAGTACTTGTTCCTACTGTGCTGCTGAGTTGTGTTTATGCAGATTGGAGTCATACCCAAAAGTGGAAGAAAAAGGCAACCAAAGACGACTTACCATTGAACAATTAAAATGTTGGCCAGACTAAAAATTCATGCAAAACAGTTTGTACTTATGACGGGTTATACAGGAATTCCTCTCCTGCTGTTTTATGGAATGCTTCGTAACTGGAAATCAGAAGCGACTCGCGTACGGGACAAGTCTGCTTTATTTGGAAGAGAACTGAAACCAGGAGAAGCACCATCATGGTAATTCTATGAAAATCTGATAGTTTGACAATTGTATATACAACTTCCTTAGTTTATTACAATGTGATTACTTGCTTATGTAATCCATACAGTGAAATAAACATACTTCAAATTAATTGTAATGTATGACTTTTATTTTAGACAATAAATGAAATATAATTTTATTTCTATAAGAATGTAAGAAAATATTTTAATATACACATTTTTCTACAATTGCATACAGTTGCTATGTTTTTCCATATTAGTAATACATCAACGAAATATAGTAAGAATTCTATTTTTAATGTCATTCTTTCTCAAAACCTTATCAGTCTTATCGCTTTTGGTATTACATTTACAGTTTTCTTTGTCTTCGATATCTTTTGTTAATACTCTTTTTGTTGTTGTATAAACCTTTTGTTTCTTCTGTGAGCACTCATTAGTATCTTCATTCCAAGATATGGGTCTTCCCTTTGAATTTTTTATTAGTTTTTGATGCGAGCATAATTTATTTCCTGTTTCTAAATTCAAATATGAATATTTTCTTTCATTTTCAATTTTATGTTCTGTAGTCGATGCACTAATATTATAATCTATAAGACCATAGTTTTGGAATTTTGTACTTTTATCTTGTGAAACAGATATATTTTTTGTTACTCTTTGTAATACTTTAGCCTGTTCCATTCCAACAGGTATCTCAAACTCTTCCCAAATATTACCCAAGTTCTTAACTTGAACATTGATGCTACTCTCTTTACTTGTATATCTTCCACGACGTTCGCTGACTGACCTTGTAAATGCAAATGGTTTTCTATATAATTCAGGATTAAATTTCTGTGAAGTTTGGATGAAAGATGAATCTCCTATATCTGCAGACAATGTGGTATCTAAATCTTCGTAAGATATTTTTGAAGGTCTCTTACTTTTATGGAAATTACTAGAGATAGTTCTAGAACCATAAGATTTGGAAGTTGTGGAGCTTTTGATGGTAGACCTCTGCTTAGATCTTGCTTCTGATACACTATGGTCGGAAGAAGAAGAAGATGAACTCCCACTGCTTCTTTTCTCTTGTAAATCCTTACATACGCTTTCCTTGTTATTACTTAAATCTTTATTAGAATGTTCCTGCAGGTTGTGGACAATATCCTGTGTTTGACTATTTTGTATGTATGAGTTCAAGTTATCAACATGTGCAATGTTCATCTTAGTATCACTTTTATGGATTTTTTGCGGCAAAACTTTGGAATCAAAATCAACATGTAATTCTTGACTATTTTGATTGATAGCAGATATCTTCAATAGATCACGTATATGCCGATTTTTCTTATGATCCAAGTCTAATTGTTTTAATTTATCATTTAATTGACATTCTAATATTCTGATCTCTTCTTCTTTTTTAGTCAATGCTTTTTCACGACTCAGTAAAATTATTTCTCTATTTCTCAATTCTGCTTCTTTCTGTTTTATATTCTCCAGCTTTTGTAGCCAATTTTCTTCAAATATCTTTTCGCTGATTTCCTGAGGAGTTGAAACAATAGCAGAACAACCATTCTTGCATCCGTGATAACACAGTTCGGTAATATTTTCTTCCGCGTCCTCGGTTCGTTCGTCGATTGGCGTTAATCTCTCCACTTTATCAAATATTTTCGACAAGACATTTGTATTATACGATGTTTCATATTTTGTTTTGTTATTCGGAGATGAAAAATAAAAATTGCTATATATATTTTTATTTTCTTCTGTAAGTCTTTCAAGAGTTATAGAGTTCTTTGCATTTTGAATACTCTCCTCTTCTATGGTGAGTGAATTATTTGTGTCATTTGCGAAACAAATTGCTTCACTTTCTTTAATACCAACGGTCACGTTATTAACACTGTTTAATTGTAATCTTTCATCGCGTCTATCATTTAAAACAGAATTTGTATTGTTACTTACGCATGTAGGTATAATGAAAGCTTCTACCCTATATTTTGCTTGCTTCATTGTTTAAATTTTAAATAATTTGATCAGTGTATTCTCATCAATAAAGGTTTACACATATTTTACACTTAACAATACCGTACAGTGTACAATCCTTATTGGCAAAGATGCTTGCTTAGAAAATCGTACTTTGTTTGAATAGTAGCGGCATATCCAGTATGTGTGTTTGATTACCGTTTTAAGTGTCACTTTTTATAAATATTGCAAAAATATTAAATAGTTTATTTCACCGATTATTAGATTTACGTCACCTTTTATGTACACTTTTATTTCAGTGTACAGGACAGATCTTTTAGTGTCACTCTCGCTCTCTCTCTATCACTTATTGTTAAGTCCGTTACCTTGGCTTGTTTTGTATTTTAAGCGTTTGTCTGTATTGACTACGCGTACGTACATCATTTCATTTAAGCTTGATAGTTGTATATACATACTATACATATGAAGTAAAGCAACACGTAGCTGTGATGGCGCTGTATTTGATCACGTGACTAGTCTTTGATTGGTCCATTTAGCTCCTTACAGGACCGTGACTGCTTACAATTGTACCTACAGCAGAATCGACTGTTGTAAAAGAATTCTTTTCGATGAATCGAGATACTACATATTTATCAATGTTGCCCCGGCTGTACAAAATATAAAATAAAAATGACTATGATCACATGTTTCACGAGTCCATATTTCCTAGTGTATAATCTAGCGTTATGTTACATTCCTGAAAAACTCGCATGGTTCTTTGTTTCACTGTATGTAATAGGAAATTGGATAAACCATATCGAAATATTT